ATATATATATATATATATATATATATATATATATATATATATATATATATATATATATTCAGATCCATGGATTTGAACAGATTTTTGCCCATACATTTTTCGTTGAATTAATATGAGATACGAAAGATCTACCAGTTCTATTGATTACTTTTTTGGAAAGTTCATGCATTAAAGTAAAATTTAACAAGTCCAACTAACTTACATGGGCTGTAAAAATGAAATAATTTAAAAATGGCCCCTCTTGACATGAAGCTTGGATTTGGCCTCCACAGATAATACCTACCCAGGGCCTGATGTGGGCTGCTGCGTAAGGCACATATCTGGGATGAAAGCAGCGTTATAGCCTACATTTTTTTAAATTCAGTTTTTTTACATTATTTTCAATTTCCATTTGAAATCGCATTTAGTTTTAGCTATAGTTTTTGCTGTGGTTTTATTAGTTTTTTAAAAATGCATTTCTATTTAGTTTTCATGCGTTTTAGCTTCTGTTTCAGTCGTTTTAATTCTAGAGATGGACATATTCAGCTTTCAGTCTGATGTTCCAGATACTATTAATGGTACTTAAAGATAAACAAGTCATTAATTCAGATAAACAGAATTTAAAAACACACTAACAAAGTATCTGACATTTGTTTTGACTCTATTTCAGTTTTGGAAGTAATACTTCGATTTCATTTGGTTTCCCATATCTTATTTCAGGTTACGAAAATGTGTTCTTACAGTTTTAGTTTCCGTTAACGAATGCTATGGTAGAAAGTGAAACACTTTCTCAGAACCAAGCCTAACAGACCCAGCCATCTCTCCCTGCTAACATGCTAGCACACTTTACCGTACCTTGGCCACATCGAACACGACGTAGGCATACTGGTTCATCTCGTAGGTGTCTATGGTCTCCCCGTCATCCCAGAACAGGTCTCCGGAGGCGGTGCCCTCGTCCGTCAGCGTGGCGATGAGGTGGAGGCGCTGTCCGCTGGTCACCCAAAGGGTGGTGTTGGCCCTCTGGAGGAATGTGAGACAAAATGAGACGAACCCCAGGTGGGACCGGCCGTCGCAGGGACAAGCAGCCCCGCTCCTACCTGTCTGGCAATGACCGCTCCTTCACGTAGGTGAACGTTGATTTTATAGAGGGGAGCATCCAGCTTCACCTCCTCACCGCTGCTCCTCAGACAGTCCCCCTGCAGGGACAGTGGGGAAACCCCACAGAGCATGCTGACATGACAGCCTCGACCTTCAGAAGGATTCTCGATTCCCAGTTCAATGTCTTAATGGTGACCACATATAAACCATCAAACTGACACGATGATTTTTTAAGTCACTTTTGCTGCAATCTGAATTGAAACAGAAGTGAGGGAAAGGCTGGAAGAAAAGATCAAATAAATTATGCAGGCTTAAAAGAAGATAACTAGATATTGTGCCATTGTTTTTCCACTTTAAAGGTGGGTGGTGACAATTTCTGAAAAAGAATGATCTATTTGAGAGAACCATTAACATAAGGGTGCTATGCTTTTCCTTACCGTGAAAAAATCGTACCACAGCCCTTCGGGGAAATATCCAACCACATAATTGACACCTTGCTCCAAAACAGGAGTCACCAGCAAAATCTTCCCCAATAGAAACTGCCGATCGATTGCATAAGTCTTCTCGTCATTTGGAAACCTGAAATACAAAACAATAAACACCATCCCCATCTTCATCCAAACTGCATGTCATGCACTGTTTGGATAAAACGTCATAAAAATGTTGCAATAATGTTACAACACTCCAAGAGAAGTACAAAGTATGCAGTTCCATTCAACACAACTTCCTTATTGCACTGTAAACCTTTCTATACATTTAAAATGTATGAAGTATATGAATGGTTTAAAAATTTACGTGAAAAAATGTACGTTTCAAAATTTTCAGAACGGCCTTCAATGTCAAACACCCCTAGGATGAACAATGTAGAAAAATGACTCTTGAGCGAATGGTACTGTGCATGTTTGGGATTGGAGTTTACTGGGAGTATTCACAACCTTACATATTTTGAACAGTATCTGATAGCATGACTATAAACCCTGAAATCTTTCTGCTCTTCAGCACACACATATGGTAAAAGATTTATATGAAAATTCCATAATACCTCAGCTGAAAAAAATAGAATTTCTCTGAAGTTCTCAGTAACTCGACCCAAACAGTGATGAAATATATTACAAGATTTCTATAATAAATAACACATTAACCCTCCAGAACAGGCTCCTACCCCTCCCCCCATGGCCTTGAACTGGCTAAGTGTGTAGAAGGTGGATGGATGGATTTACTAAAAAAAAAAAATATATATAAATCCTATTGCAGTTTCCCTGCCGGCAGTGAACGGCAGTCTCACTGGAAGAGCAGTGGCTGGGCCACGGTGCATCCGTCCACGTGGGCGTGGTGGAACAGCGTGTAGAGCAGCGGGAAGAGCGAGTAGCGTAGCAACAGCGCCTCCTGCATGGCCGTCCGCCCGGCAGGGCTGAAGGCGGTGGGGTCCTGGGCCTGTCGTGGAGAAGCACACCGATCAACGGGAAACAGGCACGACAGGGATGGTGGCATAAGCTCCACAGCACCACCCAATGGCTGCATGGAGTAAGGCGCACCTTCTGGTTGATGGAATTGTGGTTGCGGGAGAAAGGGTAAAAAGCTCCAAGCTGTGTCCACCGCACACACATCTCCTCGGTGGTGGTGCCCCCAAAGCCACAGATGTCAGCTCCCACTAGAGGGATACCCACCATGTTGAAGGTCAGCATGCCTGGAAACGTTGGGACGGAGGAACACACGCATCTCAGATTCTGAAGCCTCTGCAGGTGATCAGCTGTCCCGCCGAGCCCCGGCGTGGTGTGGGACGCGTAACGGCTGCTCACCACAGATGGACGTGTGTAAATCCTTCCACCGACTCTGGTTATCTCCCAGCCAGTGTCCCGAGTAGAGCCCCTGGCTGGGGAAAGTCGAGCGTGATATGACGAACGGCCGCTTTCCCAGAATCCTCTTCAAGGCACTGAGAAGACAAAAAATATGCCAGTATGAGAGTGAAGTCTCAATTTTGCTACTGAACCGTGTTTTTAGTTGCCAAATAGACACTTATGTAGTAGCGCACACAAGTATACACAGCATAAATATGTGGATAACAGCAAACTTCTTATCGTGGAAAGAATTTTGGAAAGGACAACAAAAATCGATTTCAAGCACATTAAATGCAGTAAAAATACTGACCTGGAGGAAGCTTTGGCCTCCATTAGACCGTACAGGCTGTGGAGGTTATAATGAACTGATGCTTTCTGCTGGGCAGAAGCACAGACCGTTTTGGCTCTGAGGGTCCCACCAAGAACCCCTGGAAAAGCCAAGGGAGGATGACAGCTTTTACAGTGACCTGCCTTTGCCGTCTACATTCAAAAGGCCAAATACACAAAATGACAAGGCTGGCTTTTAATGTACGGGAATATTAAGTTGCCTCAGTCCCCAGGTAGGCCTGGAAACAATACAGAAAAGTTCTGCAGTAACCATCTAAGAGGTTAATACTCCTTAGTTCTTCCAGGAGATCTTGCAGTCTACTTAAGCTCACCAGGTGAGTAGGGTGGGTCTTCCAGCTCATTGGACGGGCATCCCTTCAGCGATCCGTCCAAGAAGTTCGAAGGCTCATTCATATCCTGCCGGGAAGCGTAGAAAATACACATTTCTTTCCGATAGCTTAGAAAACTAAAGCAAATCGAGGGAAAAACAAAACAACGTTGACTTACAATCCACACTCCATCAAAGGGAACTTTGGCATGAAACCTCTGCAGGTTCTCAAACCACCATTCATGTGTCTCCTGGTTTGAGAAGTCTGGGAAAGCAGTCAAACCGGGCCACACCTGAGACACAGCAAGAAACCAGCAAACCAAGTGACACCTGATTCAATCAAACTGACAGGAGGTGCTGGAGAGTACTGGGTGAAATTAACCAGCTGGGTTAATGGCTACTTGGTGATTTCAGTGTAACCCTTCCAAAGACTGATGGATTAGGTGGTAACAGAGCGTATAGCCAAACATGTTTGTGTCAGACTCGATTTCTGAATAAAGGAAAACGGACGCAGAAAACATAATGCCCCTTTTGCACAACAGCTACAGTTTAGAGAAGTTGGAAGCATTGTTTGCATCACAAGACCACGAATCACAAGATGCAAGATTTCATTCCAAATCAAATACTGTCATTTTTTTCCTCAGATAGTTAATAAAAGCGAGTGTGGGTTTTCTACAAGAAATACTCAGAGGTAAAACCCCAAAGCTCTTCTGAGAATATTTCAAAGATCATTTCACCATGACTTGCAATAATGCCGATTGCCAAACAGCACCTTCCCAATCAAGGTTTGCCCACTGGAGTCATTGATGAAGACGCCTCTCTTCAAGCCTTCGTCATAAGGCCAGTAGGAGCCGGCCGGCTGGGTGCTGCTGATTCCTGGGTCCTGCAACACCCAGACAATGATCCAACACAGCAAACTGGGAAGGAAAAGGCCTGTGACCCAATTCTAATTCAAATTCACTAATCATGCTTTGAAGAAAATTAGAAAACTGTCTACATGAGAAATGGAAGCCATGGTGGCATTTAAGCATAGCTTGTTTAAACTATGCTAAAAAACTAAATTAATGCTTAAAGATGTAATAGCGTTTGAAGAAGGACAGTAGGAATATGAAAAACCGTACAGACATCTAAAACTTATTACTACCAGGATCATGACGTAACGTTGTCCGTGACTGTGAAGGTCTTTCACCATATCTGGTAGGGTCGCAAAATTCTGAGGGTCAGTGGTGAAATCCAGAGACTTGTCCATGTAATCGATATCATTCCACTGTACGTCCTGAAACAAAAACTCATTCTTAGGTAAACTTGAGACAAGACGAGAAATTAGATGAGAAGAACAGCAATTACATGTCATAATCGAGTATGTACCTGAGGTATCCCATACTTCCTCATGGTCTTCACAGCGTTCCATGTATTATCACTGGAATTATATCCCCAGCGACACAGGTGATAGCCTAATGCCCAGAAAGGCGGCATGGCAGGAAGGCCTGCACAGGGAATTAACAATGTGACTCGGGCTGGCTCAACATCTGGGACACACTTTGTTGGGTCTTCCGTGAAGACTCACCAACAACCTCCAAGTACTGCTGCACTACAGAGCTGGGATCTGGGCCCAGGAAGATGTACAAATCCAGGATACCGCCGACGGTTCGCCAAGTGAGGGCCGGAGCTGGCTGCAGCACCACATCTGGGGGAGGGTGTTTGGACATGTGCTCTTAGACTGGTGATAAATCAAGAATTCTCCGTCATACTGCTATGAAGCTGCACTTCCAGAGAAAACAATACTGTTAATATAACTGTGTAAATCGATGTGGTGTGAAATTAAGGGGTCAGGGGAGAAATTATGCAAGAGCCTTCGGCCCCTTTCAGATGAAAATGAACGCTTTTCATTTGCTGTCCGGAGGGCGAAAGACTGTATAACCCCAATACGATCCCCAAGCCGTGAGACCCATTAGCGCACGGCTAACACGATGACTCACCCATGGCATTGCTGTTCAACAGGAAGACCCCGTGAGCCAAACCACCCGGCTCCATGCCCAGGTAGAAAGGATGAACGCCATACAAGTTAGTCTTTTCCTTTCGGAGAACATTAAGCAAAAGGAAAAACATTACCGCTTCATTAACTCCTGCAACAGCTCTGACACAACATGATCAAAAACAGTCTGTTTGGGGCAGCTGGTAATAATTCCAGTCTTGGGAAAACCTGAACATATAGCCCTTTAGTAAAGAAATCAGCTGTGTTTCTGCAGGGTTAGACAAAAGTTCAGCAATCGCATGGGTCCCCCACGACTGAAATAATAATAAAAAAAGACCACCATTCTAGGGAAAATGCAGCTAAAAGTTATTAAGCGATATGATTCTCTTTTGCTAGGGGGAACAGGTCATGATCGGATAGCAGGGTTTCCCAGTTCTGGTCCTAGAGGGTTTGCAGAATATTACCAGGTTTAGTAGGTGCATCTGAGTAGGGAAATCAGGAAACTGTGGTGCAAACTGGTCTTACAGGACCGGAACTAGGGAATCCTGTTGAAAGCATCAGCTATCATCTTACTTTTTTATCTAATGAAAGATGCATTATATATAATGCAATGCAAGCTATTCACATTTTGCATTAGACTGATTTATTTAACAGAAGCTTTAATCCAAAGTAACAGAGTTGACAAAGCAGAGTCAGTCAGCTAATCCCCAGAGCAACAGGCGTTTAAAGTTCTTGCTCAAGGGCCAAACAGTGACATCACTATTTACCACCGGTGCAGCATCTCGAGCCCACATGGTCAGCGTGTTCCACTCGACGTCATGCAGAAAGGCAGCTCGATGCTCCCCCAGGCCATAAATAAAACGTGAGGGCAGGGAAGTAGATATTTGTAAGAACTGGTCTGCATAGAACAGGGGAGCCACGCTGGTATCAATTCTGTTAAAAATGCAGAAAAATGAAAGGTCATGAAAAAATGAAAACACTGGAAAATGTAGAAGTAGCATAAAAAAATAGCAATCCTTACAGCACAGTTCTAGTTGCCGTCCTTTTCACTTTCAAGCCAAAGGGATTCTTGGAGAACTCCACAGTGTAAAGAGGACTGGGTGCTTTTTTCGTGGCGTTGGGTACAGAGATGGGGACTTCAAAGCGGCGGGAGGCAGGATCCGTAATCTTGGATGAACAAGAGACACAAACAAATGATAAAGTTAACTGTGCAACAGCAGCATTCAAGCTTGGGAAACATTAACACCTAAGACATCCTTGAGTTGCATCACAAATATGGTTGACTGGAGTGGTAGTAGGTGTAGGCAGATACTGGTAGGATCTTACTTTCACATGGAGACGGGAGTCAGTCTCAAACATGACATCTAGCTGCACGGTCTCAATGTCCATGGGGTAATAGGTCTTCTCTGCCTTCTTCAGCTGTGCTGTGTAGCCAAGTTGAGTCTCATTCAGCGTGGCCACTGAGTACGTAGGGAAGTCTGGGGAGTAGAAACACCAGGGGATGCCGTTCTTGGACGGAGGATTCTCCGGAGATACCTGGACGAAGCAGCAATTCCTAGCCTCACAGAGGTCCTGTGTTACAACGATTCTCTCTGGGTAGCAGTCAAAGCGCCAGTTCTCAGGGATGGCGCTGCAGGACTGCGGAGAATTGGCCACCCTATCCGGAGCTCGTGAAGCTGAAGCTGAAGCAGGAGGCGGCGGTCTGTGGGGAAACTGATTGCTCGGGTTGTGCAACCAAAAAATAGTGCCAATTAACCAAACACCACAGACCACCAAGAGCAGAGCTCCAAGGGCCATGAATCCCGATGAGCTGGAGCATACAGACTGCTTCTCCAGCAGGGGGCTTTCAGGGGGGTTGTCTTCCACCCGCTCCTCCGGTGGCTCCTCAGCAGATGCAGACCCAGAAAAGTACACATCCTCTGGAGTTAGGAGTTTGTAGGATACCATCTTGCTGTTAGGAATCCTAGGCAGCTAAACAAATGCAAAGGCTGGATGCATTAAAACCAGAAACGAAACACAATGTTTCTCCAAAATATTTCTGAAGGATCTTACAAACGAGTAATCCACGTTATCCTTGTAATTTAAAAAGGGGAACTACGCTCTGGCTTTCCTTTTAGAAACGACATTCTTCCCAAATGTAAAATATATACGTATATACGGAAAATACGTTGCTTTATTATACATTAAGTATACATGCATTAAGTAGCTATTTTGTCGGGGTGCTACTACATAAGCATTCAAATATCTTGTACAACGCGACGTGCAGTATTGTTGCAGCTACAGCCATAAAGCATGCAAGAGAGCTGTTCGTGCTGTTATTTTTTTACACTGGGATTATAACTGCTGACCTTTTCCCGAAGGAAGGCATGTGACTTTTCTTAGCTTCCAACATAAAGCATCTGGTAAAGAAATTTGACTGCCCCGTAATGTCCCTCAATGCTGTTTCTCACGTACACTGTACAGCAGAGCATGTCATGTAGTGAAATGTCAGCTCCCGTCTTAATGATCTCTAATTTTTATCCATCCTCTAAGGTTATTTACAATTGAATCCTTCTACGATGCACATCACCTGCCTTATGTATTAATACAGCACGCACAGGACATCGCTAACAAAGCTATTCTTACTTAGCAGTACTAACAAATCGGACAACTGCATGAAGTAATTAAGCAAAAGGCTATGCATGGCGCACTCAAAACTACACAGAAACTCACCGCCAGAGTATGTCTAGCTGAATAGCTCCTGTTCTCATTTAACTCCGCTTACAATAAACCATAACAAATGCAAGGACAGTTTAAGTTTGGTTAAACATCAACGAATGAAGGATTATTGGCAGTCAAGATAACCCCTGCCGCAACGACGGACAGCCGGACGGCCAAAAAGAGTTTTTCTATACGCCAACGAAAAATGAATTACGTCATCAAATGAGTTGCAACGCTTTTGTTCATCTACATATTTTCACGCCGGCAAGCCATTAAAGTAAACATAGAGCCGCTAGAATAAGTAGGCAAAACTTTAATCTGATTTAATCTCTCATTACAATGTAGGCCTAATAATATTGAAATTGTTGGTTTTATGATTAAAATAAAGACCAGGAGGCTACATGCAGCTAGGAATGGTGTATGGTCAGCTGGCGTTCATAGAGCAAGGAAATATGTACTGTTTTTCCGTGTATTTATTATTGTTTAAATTTTCTTAGCCGTGTTCAATCAACTGAATACTGGGAACGCAATGAAATTGTAAATGAAAGTTTCAGTTTGTGTACATATCTTGTGTTTTACAAAGATGTTTGACTTAGTGGTCTGTGGTCAAGTGGACTAGAATTACGCTTAAAGATAATATACACTGCCCATCCAAAAAAAAAGTCGCCATTTGAATTTATATCAGCAAATATACTTAAAAGCCAATGACTAGATCATTATTACAGTCCTGCAACGTTATGCAGCAATAAAGTAAAGTCAGCTGAGTACCTGAATCTACTGAATGGCCAGGTTACACCTCCATCCATCATAAACTGAAACAAGGACAAGAGTGCAAAGATTCAATGGGTTCAAATTGTCAAAGAGTGGTTCAGGGAGCATGAAGAATCATTTTCACGTGTGACTTGGTCACCACAGAGTTGTGACCTTAACCTCATTGAAGGTCTCTGAGATGTGATGAAGGAGGCTTTATGGAGTAGTTCAACTCACTTGTCAATACAGGATCTTGGTGAGAAATGAATGCAAATCTGGATGAAAATAAAGGATGAGATGTTACATAAGCTTGTGGAAACAATGCCATGACAAATATGCACCATAATCAAAGCTAAAGGCGGCCAACAAAAAATTCAAATGGCGACTTTTTTTTTGGACGGGCAGTGTACGTTTCGCATTTAGGGGGCATTCCAGTTGAAATTTCTGACTAGCAACTTGGAAATTCTGACTTCCCAATTCAAATGGAATGTAGCATAATAACAAAAAATTCTTTTGTACATGTAATTGATTTATTGATTCATTCATTCTTTCATTTTCTCTAGGCTTGACACCTGTCCTACTCTGGCAGAAAAAAAAGAGTACAGCCCTGGTAGTTTTGTTCCCCAAGGTACAAGCAACATTAACATACCCGCAATGGTACAAAAATGTCACTCAGAGTCCATTTCTGTACCTTAAATTAGATTAAAAGGTAAACTTACCCACCGCTAGGGTACAATTTGCAGGCCCTTCAGGGTACAACCCCAGTGACAAGTAATTGTACCCTCAAAAGTTAAAATTGGTACCTTTTTTTCCTGACAGTGCATGCAGGGTCATGGGGGTCCAGAGCCTATTCTCCAAAATATTTGGAACATAACTGGATCAGTCTGGGTTGCAGGCCCAGTATGACATGCATTCATGGGTCTCTTGTGGCAGCCCAGCCTATGCTATATAACACTGGACTTTGCAAAATCAAAGAGTAACAGTATCCTGCTTTGTAATGTGTCTGATGTACATTTCGTTGGTCATATTCTGACATCTCCCAGTTTGTGTTGACAGTAAATGTTCAGGACGTACTTCTTCCATAAGTGCTGACCTAAAACAACAGCTTCTGTGATCCCATCTCTCAGGTCAGGACTCTTCTTTCTGGTGATCCTTAGGTCAGTTAACTTTTAAGACCGCAGTTGTCAAGTGCAAAATGGATCCTTTGGTTCATGTCAATGCTTGAATTTTGTTATTTTCCAGCCATAATCCCCTATGGATACATACAGTGCTGCAGGAAGAAGGCACAATGCATCCTTAGAGATCACCACCACCCAGTTCATACCCTGCTCAGATGCAAGGAATCTGGATACAACTTCAGACATCACCAGCCAGTAAGTATCACTACACAAAAGGCACAGTTCCACAACAATTAATTTTCCCAGCCACAGTCAGACTGCTTGGCCAGGACATTAAAAGGATTATAAAGAAGAAGAAGTAGAAGATATCATACCCTCAATCTCATAACATTGACATTTTACATTATACCCGCATACATCAGGTTCTGGACTCATCAAACTATACTACCTCCACCCCACTAACCCTCCAGGTCTCTGTTACACAGAGAGGTGCTAAAATATGTCTGTACATAAGTATAATATTCGAGAGTGTTATGTTCAATAATCAATGTGCAATAACTCAGGGTGTCTTTTCTTTTTCTAGTTTATTTTTGTGTGAGATTATCATTAATTGTGCTGCTCTTTTTAACTACTTATGTATCTCCTCTATTTTGAAAGCTAACCCCGATGTACTTGAACTACCCTGTACCTGTGCAAATGGCAATAAAGTCTGTCTGTCTGTCTGTCTGTCTGTCTGTCTATCTAGCAGCAGAACAATGATGCAGCTGAAATTAGGCAGATTTTCACCAAATGCTGGACTCACATTAACCTCTGAGTCAGTGGTTTACAAAAAAATCACTGTTGTGTGGACATACACGGCTTCTCTAAGCCTCCGGGTAAGTGAGAAACAAGACTACTGTATGACTGAACAATACAGTGCAAGGAGTCAAAAGCTTGTCACTAATTACCTGACTTTGCTAACGTTTTGGATTGTCTTCAAACTATCTGTGTAAGAGATATTCATGACATCAATGCTTTATTCCACAGTTAAAAGAATATTACTCCTATCTACAAGATACATCCCAAACATGGTGATACTCCTGATTTAAACAAAAAATCATGCATGGAGTCAGTACTTGAAGTGGGCCAATACTCACTTAAAAAATTAGTGCCCAGTGCAGGGCTATTCAAATCACAGTTCCCAAGGTCTGAGCACTGCAGATTTGCCAGGGTATTGTGAGCCACTAACTATCTGGGAGAAATGGAAACCCATCCTGGATTTGGAACTGAGGCCAGATTTAAGCCCTGCTCTAGTGCATTTTCTGATAAATAACCAATTTCTATCCAGATTATAATTCTTAGTTTTTTTATTAATACAATGCACTATGTCCAAATTATGCCAAACAACGTGTACTGTGTTCAGAGTTTGGGAAGTTACTTACAAAAGTAATCCATTACAGACAGAGGTGGAAAGTTCAGGTACAAATACTTTTGTAACTTCCCCAACACTTACGGTGTTTTGGCTAATTTGTCCGCTCATTTCAAATAATCATTCGTCTTAATCGTTTGTTTAACGGCGTAAGGGAAAAGCTGCGCCGTTGATAACCGTAACTGGAGCCGTTGGCACGACAACCAATCAGTCTTTTTATTCCACGTATCTTTATTTGATATGATGTAGTATTAAGCGTCTGTGTCTTCGGGGATCTTGCTATTTCTGGCTTTCACTAGTTTCCCGCCGGAATGACGTCAGTACAAAGTTATTTTCATGAATGGAAGGGGCGGTCACGAGGAGCGGGTGACGTGAGTGCTTGCGGAAGCATAGAGTGGAATGTCGATACATTGTTGTTTTGTAGTTATTTTGGATTAGAGATAGATTTCACTTCGATTGCAGCAAGGTCTCTCTGGGTTGAACCAAACGCCACCGTATAACTAGCTATATTGCAAAGCCTATAAATTTCGGACAACAAGCGAATTACAAGGTAACGTATTTTTTTCACCTCTAAAAATATCTGTCGAAATTCCTCTTTTAGTAGCTGGTGTTTACACTATGACGACAAGTATTTCTGAAACTAGCGCTGTGGGGTTATCCGTAACAAGTGATGGGTTAAGGTAATTTATACAACTTAATATGACAAATGAAGTAGGGTGAAAGATGATTTTAGGATCCGCGCGTTGTGTTTTAATTACAGAAATACTGGAGGAAAGTCGGGAACACGTGTTCGCAGTAAAGTGAAATCTCAGCGTCAGCCGCGGAGTTACTTTAGGAAAAGCATGATTCACGTTTTTTGCAAGTTTTTCGTGATAGTTTGGATACTTTTTAAAGATAACCGGAGGTAGGTAACTTTTAAACTATCAAGTTACAGAAGTGCGTTTTAAGTAAATTGAAAGGCTTCCGTTTGCCGTTTGAACATTTGAGGGGTCCCTGAAAAGGGAGGCGTGGTAATAAACTCCCTGAAGGGGAAAAAGAAACTGAAAAACAAAATTTATGGAAAGACACTTTAACGCATTTTAGCAGTTTAGCATTGTTATTCACCTGCTTTGATTCGTTATGTTAGATTTGAACTTAAAAACGGAAAAGAAAACGTAGAAAGCAGCGTACGGTACTGACATTCTCAAGATCATTTGATTTGAGGATTTTCGAGCGATTACACGATTAGTTTTCTTTATACAAAATGCATTAAAGTACTGTTTTAGGCTACATTGGAAATCGCAATTGTGAGTGAGCCTATAATTATCATTGCAATTCAGACTCGCTACCACGATCTTCAATAACATTTGTTGTCGTGGTTTCGCCGGTGTAAAAATAGGTCATATTTGGTCGGTCCCCTATGCGTATGTAATGCGATTCTTACGGTCTGTTCCAATCTGCTAATTTCATGTCGGGAAATGACAATACACTAATTATTGTAAAATCTGTACATTGCTGAATATGTAATATCAACACTTTCGAAGGACTGTATGTTTAACAAATACTGTGTTGTTATAATTTATGAATTTAAGGAATTTTTCAGTTTCCCAATCAAAATAGTTTGTTCTACTTGGAATATTTTGGACTTCTTTTACCACTGAGGAACCACACCCTGTTATTTAGGAAAGGTGAGTCATGGATGGGTATTGTGATTCATTTCCACTTTGGCAAATTTCACAATTGTCTTTCAATTTGCTAGAGGAATAAATGGAACTACGGGAAACAGCTTAACATGGTACGGTTCAAATAATGTTTATAGTCAGCGTGCAGCGGGAAAGCGTATGGACTGTGTCAGAAACAGTGGTGTGGTGAACAGAAGATTTTAGGGTAGTTGCATGAGTCATGCTCAGAAGCGCAAGCTTTAAGTTCTTGATCATTAACTTTGAATAAACTGTCGAGCTGTCGCATTCCCAACTTGGACATCTTCGCCCGTTTTAGTATTGCAGGAAAATCTAAGTCATGCAAGCGGTGCAACAAGAAACTATATTTTTCCCACAAACCGGTAGAAATGCATAATTTTGCAAATTATTCATATAGTACAAAATTACCTTAATGCCAGGCATAAATTTTCTACATTACGATGTACATCTAATCTTCCCGGTGACTGCGCACCCCTTACAAGTCGTGGGGTTAAAGGTTTGGAATTGCTTTTTATTGGTACTTTAAAAGGGAAATTAACTTAACTTTTTATTGTTAGTAAAGGAATCAAACGTTGTTAGGCGAGGGATAGGTGACCTGGTTCTTTTTCGGCGGTCGTTGACCGCTTTGGTTTAAACAGCATGGGATCCGCGTGTCCCCTCCGCTAGTCTACCGCACGGTGTCCCATGTCCCTGCCTCATGAAAATCCACGCGCGCGCAGCCCCTTTGTCACGCGCTTGTTGGTGCTGGACGCGTGCTTCGCGCAGCACAGTGGCCGTTTTGGTAAACTGGTATCTCACGGAAGCTCTTATTTTCCGCTTTGCTCCGCACTTCTTGGATATGTGCCAAAAAATGGGCAAGCTTTCCTGCAGTTACACGCTCCAAATGTGTTGCACAAAACATTCTCAATTTTTCAAGGGAAAAAAAAACATCCAGAGCGGTATTTTTGTCACTTCTAGCAATTCCCATGAAGAGCAGAAGAATTACTAGGAATAACGTATGGGCCGGGTGACTCCTAAGGTTAAAAAACTCGTATTTTCTGTCTTATTTCTTATTGTAGTATGAGCCTATTTGTCACTTCTATTTTCTATTGTCTTGTTCCATAAGAAATAGTATTGCACGTGTTAAACGGTCTATCACACCTGAAATAAATATCATTGTGAAATGGGAAGTTTAAAAAAATAAAATTATGGAGAACGTAGTAAAACGTAATCAAATCAATCTGAAGCTGTTTATATATATATATATATATATATATATATATATATATATATATATATATATATATATATATATATAGTGTGTATGTATGAATGCGTTACTTGTTTACGTTCTTGTAATTCCATCTGGCTAACGTTCAGTGAATGCCTTAAAGGATGTTTTCTTTGAAGTTAAATCTGCGGTAGTTCTTGGATTTGTATTAAAGCCAATCTGGAACAACTTATTCGGAATTTTGAAATTGTTTTAATTGCCTTATTTTTAATTGTTTTCTATGAATATAGCCTTAGTTCTTATTTGCAGGTATGGTATTAAAACTTGATCCAAAAATAGCTACTTGTTTGCCGTCAGTGTTTCCCCTGGATTACTGCTGCACTCATCACTTAGTGGCTATGTATGAAAGCCAAATCCATGACGCTGTGGTTTACAAACATGTGCATTCTCTTTTGAGAAGGAAATGCCGCAATATATATTTAAAAATCATGTTATTGCTTATTATTGCTCTCAGGTCTGTCCTCTTCCCTTATCGTATACAAAACTTTGGAATCCCCCTCCCCCCGTTCATGACATTTTTTGAATTCCGCTTGGAAAGAAGAGGTATTCCTGTCCTCCTCCCGGTCGCAAAGTTCCTGTAGCCATGCCAAGTAATTTCCCACAGCTCGCTGGACCTTTCCTTCCGTCCAGCTGAATAACAGGACCCTCCAGGATACGTTAGCTAAGAGGGTGTGATCCCCAGTCTCTGGTCCCGCTCCTTGCAGTAAACAGCGTGACTCATAGCAATGCTATGCTTTCTCTTTACATAATATTTCATCAAATGTGCTGCGCTGCTGTGCGAGCAGAGCTGTAAACAGTGGAAAAAAGGCTTCTTTCCCTCCCTGTAAGGATGTGAAAGCCACACGGTGATTAGAAAAAAACTTTAGGCATTCACAAAACGGAAATTAGCAGCTGCGGCGAGACCAGCACGCTGTTCCTGTGATCTCTGCTGAGTGTAGTGTTTGAGCTGAACGAAAAGAGATGGGGGAAAAGCAGGAGCCGTCAAGCAGGTTTCTGATTCAGTGCGGTGAGGTAAGCCTCTGTACACATTCTACGTAAACTGGCTATTTCAGTAACTTTGTTCATTGTAATTAAACTGTTTGGATGTCTAAAGGAACACGCTTTGGGAATTTGTGCCTGTTTTGAATGTTTTATTTGTTGTGTCGTAGTTACTGCTCATAAGTATCATTTTGCCAGAACTGTATTTTTGTACGCTAAGCTGGCTGATGAAATTGGTAGTTAACCAACTAGGCAGGTTCACTGTTGATGTGAGATGAACTGCATGTATTTTTGAGGAGAAGTCTGGAGTTGCAATCTGTGTGGCAAGATGAGAATTTACCTTCTAAACTCAAACCACGCGTGTGGACAGCCAACTTTCCCATGAAAGTTTTCTTAGCAATTTTAATATTTGTGTTGATAGTAGTAAAAAATAAAAAGAGAGAGTTTCGTTGCACACTTTTTGATTACTGGCTCAGCGTCAAAAATTTCTGAACTGAAGTAAATATACAATAGTTTTGCATTGAGGTTATAGCTTTTGGCATTTAAAATACATAAACAGGTTAAAAAGAAATAGGTCTAACCAGAATCCCTGTTGTAAACATCATTCTGTTGAAATGTACAGTTCTTTAATTCCTGCTAGATGTTTACATCTCTTGTCCGTTTTTATTTGAAGATGAATTCCTGCAGTTTCTCAGGGTTTACAGTCTGTCTGTAAATCGTGTATGGAAGCCCACAGGCGGTGGTGAGTGAGGATGGGCGACAGACACATTTGATCGTGGGCTGTTGCTCCCTCTGCAGCTTCCCAGTGAAGGTTAGGAGCGACTGACTCACAGGAACGCTATGTCACAGCGCTGGAGTCTGCAGCCGCGTGGTTTGCCGTGTGTGGGCAGTAGGCTGTCCCGTTCTCAGGCTGACTTTACACGCCTCTTTTTTTGGCGTCAGCAGCATTGTGTATCAGACATCCTCGATGGCCCAGTGGTTTCCAAGTTGCAAAGTTTGTTATGGTAATCTAGTGGGTGAATGTTTTCCATCTCCCCCATTTTGCAGTGTAATACATTCTTTGGATTTCAGTTATGTTTGGAATTTGGCTAAATGTTAGAAGGCCATCGGTTCACACTGTAAATCACACTGACAGCTTCGGAGGTCTTTGCCTCTTAAGCATGTTACAGTTTGTCTGATCTCTGTTCAGATTTGCATGACTTGCATAATTTGGCCAACTTGATACCACGTGACGAGCTGAACACTGCTATTGCTCCAATGTTTTTGCCAGTGTCTTGTCTACACAGATATGGTGTATACAGTCACGGCTTTTCCCTGACAGATAGGCTTACATATTAATTGTTTGCATAATGTCTTAGAAGAACTGGAATAGTGGTTGAACATACTTGAATATGGTTTTCATGAATGTTTACCTATAAACATGACGAGGATTAACATAGTTCTTACATTTCAAGTAATTAATTCCCAAGCCAGGAAGACACATTTTTCTCTGTGGTTGACCTGATCTTCACATATTATTAATTTCTTTTATAGTTGCAATTAAGTCTAACGTGTCAAGCATTGTTAAATATGCAAACATATATACTTAATATATTTCACAGATATATTAATATGAAGCAATTCTCTCCTTTTAAACGGAGACACTGAAAGTGTTCTTCAAGTTTGTGCTACGGAATGTTATTTGTGAAGTAAGAAGCCCACTGGCTGCCCCTGACATAGCAAGCCCCCCCCCATCGAGGCGCTGTCAAGGCCTCTTCCCATTTCCCCCCCCCCCCCCCCCCCATCGAGGCGCTGTCAAGGCCTCTTCCCATTTGCTCGCAATGTGCAGTGGTTATTTTGCCGATTAAACCAGAACTAGAGAAGAATCGCGGATCTTCCTGCTTTTTTCCTTCCCTCGTCTCAGCAAGCAGGCACATTTCCTTGTTTATTTCTAAATAGCCCTAAAGAGAAATGACTCCTGTTAAAAGACCAGAAGGGCTGACTCTACCATTGACTTTTGTGCTTGTAATGAATCTGTATGTCATCTTTCCTGTAATGACAAAATCAGCTTATTTATGGACGATTTAAAAAAATTATAATAATAATTTAGATCTACTGCACCGACTGGCAGCTGAAGGCATCAGGTGGCCGGGTGTCCGATGGTAACTGGTGTGTCTGATGGGGAAACACCCCACCCTCAGTTTGGGGACGGTGAGATGTGCATTCCTGAGAAATCCAGCCAGCGCCAGGATGGCGTCGGATACCGGCCATGCTGCTTATGTGGCAGATACCTTTTGTCTTGTCCTTTTGTCTGTAGTCAACTGAAAGAAATAAAAAAAAAAAAAAAACTTTGTGTTCAAAAAATGCTAAGAGGAATCCCCCACTTAGTGTGGTGATGTTGTTTATTTAATTTAATTTTATTTTTTGCTGTAGACAACGTGTCGAGTTTGCAAAACTTGTCAGTCTGTCAGGTTAAATATAGCCAGGAAAGTTAAATAAAGAAATGCGAGGTGCTCTTGCATAGCGTGCCGGGTAATAGGATCTCACTGGCAGAGTCGAGGCCTAAATCTGATAAAGAGCATTGTCTCACAGAAATGCCATGCAATGCAGGCTGTCAGCGTCATGCAGATTTTGCCCGTGTTGTTAAAAGCATGAGTTGTTGGAAACATGCAGTTCTTTTATAAGTTTTCACTTGTTTGTGTGTTACAACAATCGGACTTTACTCCAAAAAATTGTTTTCTGTGAAATGTCTACTTTTGGTGGGTCTTTTTTTTTCCCCATTTGCAAGTTGTGCAGAAGTATGTGAACACAGATGAAGAAAATAACAATCTGGCCAAACTGGAACGTTAGCATGCTGGAAAGAGTATACATGTGTTTGTTGTCGCGTCATGTGAAAGCGAGCATTCGTGTATTTTCTTTCCGCAGTTCATTTTATGTGGCTTGTGCGTGTTCGTGTCGAGCGGGCTGCCCGTCCTGTTTGTGATGTGCCCTTCGGATCGCTTCAGTCCTTGCAACTGAAGGGCCCTAATGCCTACCACGTGTGTGGCCATGTTGTCAATGAGCCTGTTTACTGTTTGCTCACCCATGTGACCAATTTTCCGGCACTGATTTGATGTTGCTTGGTGGTGGTTGGGGGGGCGTGGGGGGGCTGATTCTCTCTGCTGGATATTTCCATGACAACAGGCAAGGGACAACAACAGCTCCGTGAAGGTCTAGTGTGGATGGTGTCATCTGCAGACCGTTGCGAACGGGAGCCTTTCCTTCCTGAGACCCCGTGCCGATGCTTTTCACGGCGCGGCTGCTCCCAAAGGCTTAGGCTTCAGAAGCCGATGATTCTTCTAGGAACCGACTTCCGTAAATATGAAACAGGGCCACCAATCCTATTCTATTTTTGAAAACCGCTACCATTGTTTGTTATAGTTGCGGCATACTTTCTTCTCAGCAGCTCAGCGGATCCAATATAAGACAGTTGGCTGTAAACATGGTCAGCGGTTGCTTGTTCTCCCATATCGCTTGCACATGGTTTACTTCTTTTATCTGCAATCTCATGTTAAAAATAGCTTGACAGCAGGCCTTCTGGAGTAATTGAACGGCACTGAGGCAATAGTCTTGAATAGTGTAATGCGGGCCATGTGACAGAATGGCAACATACTGGAATTTTTGGGGGAATCCAAATAAAATGCCTTCACTTTTTCCAACGTTACCCAACATAATATGGTAGTTTTTTAATACTGTGTTTGATCTGTCTTTTCAGTTGCATTTCTGAGGGATTCTGGACAGCTGGATGCACGCAGGGCATGACGACGCATTTTAAAGCTTTACAGGTAAACACAGGCCTGTCAGCCATCTTGAAACCCCGTACAGGTGTACCCAGGGGCCTTTGCTGACGCCCACTCGCATGTTGCCATTCTCCGTCCCGCTCCTCCAGGTGAAAAATGAGGCGGAGGAGAATGCGGCCGCCCTCAGCGACGACGAGCTGGTGGCCATGTCGGTGCGGGAGCTCAACCAGCACCTGCGGGGCCTTTCCAAGGAGGAGGTGGTGCGGCTGAAGCAGCGGCGGCGCACGCTGAAGAACCGCGGCTACGCCGCCAGCTGCCGCATCAAGCGCGTCACGCAGAAGGAGGAGCTGGAGCGGCAGAAGGCGGAGCTGCAGCGCGAGGTGGACAAGCTGGCGCGCGAGAACGCCAGCATGCGGCTGGAGCTGGACGCGCTGCGCTCCAAGTACGAGGCCCTGCATTGCTTCGCCCGGACCGTCACCTGCAGTCAGCTCTCGCCCAGCAAAGTGGCCACCACCAGCGTCATAACCATCGTCAAGTCCACCAATCACAGTCCTGTCTCCGCCCCTTTCTCCACCCCCTCTTAGTGAAAGGGAGGGGCCCTTTTCCACGCCTCCTGCCAGTCGGATGCATATATCATTTAAAGGTCCCGTGAGGATTCTGACATTCTCACAGACTATATCTGTTCCCTCTTCCTCATATAATCTGCATCGCCTATGCCGATTAAAGTGTTGCCGCAAGCTAAGCTATAAATCTACAGCAACAGTGGGCCAAAGCATACGCTGAATATACACAGCCGTTTTAAATACGGCCTGGAGTCAAGATTTCGAGAGAGGCAGAGTCGGTCTAAAGTGTAGTTACATTTTTTTTTTTTTGGCATCCTTGGTTGTGTTTGTTTTATGCAAACAAAGCATAAAATATGCAGGATGTCGTTTGTGGCACGTCTCAGTGACACATCAAATGATTGTGAGGGTTTTTATGATCACAGAGACGACTGGTCCAACGACAGTTACATTTCTGCAAAGAACATGAAATGGCTAAGAATCGAAACTGATGGTGCAGTGGATGGGTGCAGACCAGTTCTCCACAGCATCTTTTTTCATGTAATGCCTGAAACATTTCTTATTTTTTATACTCTGTCACGTCCGGGATCGTGAGTTTTATACATTCCACGGCAATGTAAACATAATGGCATCCTCGTAATGCACCTTTCGTCAAATATATATGAATAGGTGTTTATATTGATTCCAAATCAAATCTAAAACCTCACGTAGAAATGCCAGTCAACACTATTGCACATAATCCGATCTTCAAAGTCAGGCATGATACCTGAGCTGTCTATTTCTATCAGGTATATTACATCTGTTCTAACAGTGATACAATTGGTATTTCTTTTTTTATTCATTTACTCATTATACAAGCCACATATAAACTTTCTTGTCACTATTGAACCAAAATCAGTGGTGAAAAGTGATTGAACATTGAACTAAATAAAAGCACAGTGTGTTTTTGCGTACATAGTCAGAGGGAGTATCTCAGAAGTAGGACCTGAGTAACTACATCCAAGCTGTTATGGCAGGAAAGATCATGGCTAATTTATATAACATATATGTAGTGTGTTTGTGTATATATAATATATAAGTATAGATTTTTGTAGTTATGTTTCTCCTGAGCTGTTAATATTGTATTGTGTTAGGTAATCCATATTGGATATGGGAGGTTTCATTATAGAAAAATAAAATATTCAGTTGTGGGTTAGACGTTACAGGCATAAATAGCTAATTTTCGGAGTTTCGCGGAATGAAAACTGGCTGTAATTACAGGCCGCGTCTCTCATGTGGGAACATGTCACCCTTTTGATGTCGTTCCTGCTCGGTCTCATGAAAGCATCACTGCTGATGTGAGTCAAAAGCACTTGATGGTTTTTTTGCATTTCATTTTTAGACATGAACATTTGGGTAAAGGTTGGGGGGGTGTAACTGACAGAAACAGAATCTCTGTCGCCCCCTGCCAGTGTAGATATAGTGGATGATGCAGTGTGATATGTGGGGTCCATTGCTGAAGCTTGCTCGCCGCCCAGTGATGTCACACTTGGGGATTATGGGAGGCTCGCAGCATTAGCGGTTCCCCGTGGAGACGACGGCACTTCCCTTGGTTAGATGCCATTATAGAACGGGCCATTTTGCTGCTGTACAGCCCGATGCATTACTATCAGTCTCCTTGCTCTTGTAATTTTTGTTTTTCATGTTATTTTCCTTGAATCATTTGGTCATTATCATTCTCTATTTTGCTGTATATTAAGTTAATCCTATAATATATGAAATAGCAATCACTGTTCCAGTTTCAGATTTTAATGTTTGACATATTCTTGGGGTTAAAAGTACATTTGTCCCACAGGAACTATACAGCTTCATGAATGCAGTAATGTACCTGACTAAAACTGGAGTGTTTATATGAAATAGAATCCAATATATTCCCCATTTCTATCAAAAATTAGGACTAATTAATCTTGAAATTGTCCACAATCTAACCAGCAGCTAGAAGCCTTTGAACAATAGACAAATTATTGTTACAAGTCTTATGAATAATCAGTCTGCTATTTGAAGAGAAAAGGTGTTTTTTGTCTTGTCTTTCCAGCACTTATTTTCCTGTAAGTGAGCAACATTCTGTGTTAAGCTTACCCCCAAAACAAAAGCATTTAACATAATTGCATTTTCTTTTTGTACAGTAATTTTGTGACTCGTTGTCCATAATGGTTCATTGGTCATATGATCAGTACAATATACTGTAATTCTTTCCTATTGGAAGCTGAGAAATAGTTTTGTCTTAACAGAATTTGTATTAGCAGAATGATGGTGTCTTTATCTTTACTGACACCTAGTGGCGAACTCGTGTATCCAAGACATAGTATAAAATAACTGGATAAAATTTATTTAAGGCTGCTCATTCTTTTTTTTCCTCCTGTGTTAACTGCTTGTCTGCCCCTAGTTCTCCACTGGCCACAGGTACTCACCCTGAATTACGGGCTAATTGGTCACACAAGTGAGAGCTAACAGAGAATGGGCATTTTCTGTTTTAGGGCTCAAATTGGTTATCGCCGTGAAGCAAAGAAGCTAGAAATAAATGTGGGTGCTGAACAAGGGGGCAAATATATCTCTCCTTTTCTGCCCTGATCTTGAGTATATGTACTGTATTTCTATTTTATGATTTTGTTTTTACTCTGTAGTACTATGTTTCATTTGTATTGGAATAAGCAAACATGATTGAAAGCGGTTTGTCAGCATATGAGAACTGAACATTCTGTCTTTATACTTTACGGTCTATTTCCTGATAGCAGTCGCTGTTAAATTATTCAATATTTTCGATATATAACAGTTTCTAAGTTATACTCTGTGCGTTTGCTCTGAACACCATTCAAGCTCTTTGCCAAACACGCACAAACACATAATCCCAGTTAATTTGTGTGGTGCATAATTTGCACTGAATGCATTAAAAATGAAACATGAAGTATGCTGCTTAAAAAACACTTTGGACACGTCGATATACAAAGAATTAAAAAAGATGTGCTTAACAAATGTTAATGTGTCCTATGGTTTGCATAGAATTTTGAAGAATCTGATGATTGACACGGTCTGGTTATCTTAGATTTGTTGGATACACATTTTGTTTCTTTTTTGTCGCTGTGAGGTACACAGATGGTGCAGTGATGCATACTGCAGTATGACTGCCATCAATTAAACAACTTTAAACACCAGTAAACTATCTTACAGAAACTATGGTCTTTGCATCGTAATTCAGTTTATTAGCATTTTATAGTTATTCAGAGTTGTTTTCACTTTTATCTAAATTATTGGATTTTATTTACTTTCTAGTTTGATGGCTGTACTCTTGTGTATATATAAAGAAAAAATATTTTCCAAAACATTTTTTTCCATACTCTGACTGAAAATATTATTTATTGCTGTAAATAAGAGTCCTTTGTGCCTGTTTTGTACTTAGGTGCTGAAAATAAAGCGTTTTCTCATGAAAAGCATAGTTTGATCTTTTGATACATAAAGAGCTATCTATATCCATCCATCTTCTCCTCACATATCACATTCAGGGTCAGCTGGAGACTCTCCCAGGCTGTACAAGGTTGGCATACATCCTGGATATGATGTGTAATCCATCACCGAGCACATACACATACAGTCATACTCTATGGACAGCTATTTATTTTATTTTTTAGAGACACCAGTTTGTCTACCTAAATGTCCTTGAGCTGCAGAACAGAAGAACAACATCTGGAAGACACCCATGTGACACAGGTAGGACATGCAAACTTCACAGCCAGACCAACGGTATTTGATCCCTTATTCCTGGAGGTGCTACCTGCTAAAATACCATTACATAAAACAAAACTACCAAAAAAATGAGATAGAAAAGTTAATCCTTATTAGGGGAAAGCGGAGCAAAAGTACTATTGAAAGGTCACCTATTCCGGTTCTTGCTGACTCATATGATGTAAGAGTCTTAATTTAGCTTCAGCTCTTCCAAAACTTCTTAAGTTGGGCAACCAGTCATCAGAGACTGTGATGGTGACTTTTTATCAGCTGGTAGGTGGGAAGCAAGAATGAGTCACACACTCGCCCTTTCTGATCTCCCGCCTTATCAGGCGACTCAGTGACCCTGGTAAGGTCACACTTTTCGCTCCCTGCATGCTATCCCATGGATAATGGAAACGCGTTCTTAGATATCATCGTGACAGACATCAGTGTCACTTCGCAGTTTCACTTCCTTTAAATGCACTTACCCTCGCCTCCACCTCAGCTGGAGAGACACAAATACGCTGGATGTAAATCTGGATTTTTTTAACATTAGTGCTCTATCTTGGATGCTTGGCACATCACGCTTAAGTTGGTAGACGATGTTTCAGTAGTATTCTGCAGTTCCATAGTATTCCACAGGTGCTGCATGTACAAATTCCTCTTCTGTCAGGAGAAAGAGAAAAGGCACATTGACCTGAACACCAGCTGACTAAATATGTAAATACTATTAAGCTCAATTATTTCATCTGCTGGAAAAAATGGTGCATTTAGCATTTCATCTGCACTTCACAGCATCCGTTCAAAGGAAACCCCGCAGTATTGTATTTCCATATTGAATATTTAAATATTCGCAATCACATATTTTATGTAATAATATATTATTACATATTTTACCATTTATCGTCTTATGTTATAGTTTGTAAAAGATCTAACTGATTAAGGTTTTTAAAAATTCACACTAATTATGTAATAAAGGCTGGACCCAAAACATGCATAAAAAGTCCAAAACCAGAGATGATAATTAGTAATAAAGGCTGGACCCAAAACATGCATAAAAAGTCCAAAACCAGAAATTCACACTAATTATGTAATAAAGGCTGGACCCAAAACATGCATAAAAAGTCCAAAACCAGAGATGACATGTGTCACATTAGTTTTAAGGCCACTTGTTCATGGGACATCTGTGATATTTTGCAAAAATAACAAAGGTCCTGGAGATTTGTTTTAAGCCACCAATAATTTATGTATGTGTGTGTATATATATATATATATATATATATATATATATATATATATGTGTGTGTGTGTGTGTGTGTGTGTTCTATTCGCTGATGTCATAACTATGATTATCTTTTAACCAACAACATATTCATATCCACGATGATAACTGTAATGTAACAGTTTATGGTTAAAGTATATGCATTGTTGTACTTATAAAACTTTACGTTCCTAGTGAAGAAAGGCAACCCGTATTGTTATATTAGTGACACTTAAAAAAACACGTCAATTGACCGACTGAGACGTTGCATAAATCAGCCTTCAGTTGAGTAACTCACTGTCCACTAGAGGGAGACATTGACTGCTGCTCGAAGGTGCTAAAGTTGCACATTTTCCATCACCAGACAAGAACACAGAAAAAAGACTAAAAAGAAACACTGAACAGTAATTCTATCTATTTGTAGCATTATTATATAATTTGCAATTATAACATAAACACAAGAAGTACTTCTGTAGAATTGTGTTTACAGAGATGAGTAGTTAACTCAAAAAGACTACAAGTTTTGCACTCAAAAGAAGTATAAAGCCATTCTTGGAATTAATGCACTTCAATATTAATTTGAATTTATACCACATAATTACTTTCAGCTTAGTGAGTTGGCAGTAGGTTGGACATTTTTTCTTTCATGACATCATATTGATCCTTCCATCCATCCGTGCATACATACATACATACATTAACCAAGACCCTATCCTAGAATGCAAAGACCATGAAGCAAGATACACCCTCGAAGTGAGAATGTTCCGACACATAGCCACTAATATAACTGATATAATTAAAGATATTACAATTGAAGTTAAACAATTACATAAATATACTTGGTAGGATTTAGTTTACAGTCTACGTTAATACAACGATAGACTTATAAATAATACAACTGGATAAAAAGCAATAAAGAAAGACCGGCAGGAGGCAGTGTTGCCTCAGCTTTCAGTGTACTTTCTCTTGCGCTCCTTCTCAGTTTCGCCTGCTTTCCCCACATTCTCCTCACGTAAAGGCATCACGAGCCGCTGTAAGTGCACGGCACCTCCTGACGGGAGGTGTCTGTGTGGGCCGCCACCGCACACTCTCTGTTGTGTTAAATTACATGTTACACGACGAAACCAACAATCGGGCAATCAGGACCTTAAATAAGGAGTGTCACAACACGGCTCTGATTGGATCGTCGCGCTGACTCGGGTTTGAGTGCGGACTCGTCCTGATTGTAACGTCGCCCAAGATGCGCTTATGTTCAGTGGTTTAACTCTGAATTGTCATCGGCGAGCCGGTTATTACGTGCAGCCGCTATTTAGGCTGTCATTTCACGCATCATCTTCTACTGCTCTCTGTCAGCTCTATCCTGAAACACAATAGACGTGTATGGCTTTGTAAAAAGGAGATCAGGCGTGCATGCCATGCATCACATCCTATAAAAAGAATGCTGTAAGTAATAACTCAGAGATGATTAATATTTTCAAAAAACGTCTTAATAATAAACGGGGTTTTAATAACTGTACTGATCTAATAGGTGCTGATGAATTAACTTCATACTTCAAATTGATTGAACGATGGAACTTTATGAATAATAGTACATCATATTCCCAAAGTGTTGCGAATAATTTTAGAAAGTCAGCTACGTTTTTAGATGCGTGGTGTAAAGCACGCCGCCACTGGACTGTAAAGCATTAGGGACGTGTTCTCTGGAGTGACGAATCACGCTTCTCTGTCTGGACAGTCTGCGTTTGGCGGTTGCCAGGAGAACGGTACTTGCCTGACTGCATTGTGCCAAGTGTAAAGTTTGGTGGGGGGGGATTATGGTCCGGGGCGGAACTAAGGGCGGAGCGGGCGTGGCCACCGCCCCAGGGCCCTCCCCTGGATCGTAGAGGCCCCTCCTCCCAGGCATAAGAGGCCCCTCCCAGATACTAAATACACACAAAGTTATACTGATATTTCTCCCAAGCTCTTGACAGCTAGAATATATTACTTATTATACTTTAACTTTGACTTGAGATTTTATATATCTGTCATTTTTGGTATACATTCTTACTGTAATTTTTTTTTTTTTAATCTGTAAAATCCCTATAACAAACTTAAAATATAATACATAGTAATGTTTTGAAGTCAAACTAAGCTGTTCCTTTTGTATTTAATGGTTTTCCGTTTGAGGAATTTGCAAAAAACTGCAGTGCATGATGGGTAGGATCTAATAGGTTATTATATGGCGCATGCCTTCTGTTTGTTAGCAATTTCGCCGTCTAGGCTACGTTCTTAAAAACTGCTTTTTGTTGGATATAGCCCGATTATGTGTTGTGGGCCTTTTAAAATTATTTGTTTGCAATTTTGCCAGGTAGGGTACCTTCTTTAAACTGTTAGACTACATATTTCGGGATGTTTTATTGTAGTCTTTGTAAATATGTATATAGTTTAGCCTAACCCAGCCACTTAAGGGAGCAAACCAGCTCAACTAGTTACCGGTGTTCTGACAAAACATCCTACCTATTGAGACGTGCTATCGAGCCTTTCTGCACATGTGCAGTTCCACCGTCTTGGGATTAGGGTTCGGTTTTAGGGGTTAGGGTTAAGGTTAGGGTTTTAGGGGTTTTTGGGGGGTTAGGGTTAGGGTAAGAGTTAGGGTTAGGGCTATCGATTAGCACTACGGTAGGATGTTTTGATAGAGTAGGACGTTTTGTCAGAACACCGGTCCGAAGCCCGTATTAATGGGGAGGGTTGGCGTCAAGAAATAAAGAGACTGTATCTTCACTGCATCACTGATGTCAAAATGTGGGAAATATGTAGTTGTATAAATAAATGCGTTAAAGTAGGTTAATGGCTATACCCGGATGCATGGACGCATTATGAGAATGAGAAAGACGGTGCGTGCACACTAATTAACCTATACCCTATTCACTTAGACTATACACTGTAATTTTTGCAACAGAAATGGATGAGATGGGCAGGCAGCTGGAGGTGGAATCTTTGTCCTTGGTAAAACTCTGACGGTCTCCACACTGGTAACAACGTTGTTTTCTAGGCATAGCCAAACAAATCTCCTCCTGTCTGAAAAGGCGTAGAAAACGCAATTTAGCCACTAAAATTTTACATTTTTTTTGAGGGACAGTCAAATTCTCCCGTTAAGTTTTTTTGTGGTCTTGCACCCACACTTTAGAACTCGTTTCAGCGACGCCACATATACGTGTGCGCGTGAGGGGGCGGCCCATCGGTGTTTTGCCCCGGGGCCTTGTGTGCATTTGTTCCGCCACTGATTATGGTGTGGGGTTGTTTTTCAGGGGTTGGGCTTGGCCCCTTAGTTCCAGTGAAATGAGCTCTTAATGCTGCAGCATTCAAAGCCATTCTGGACAACTTCATGCTCCCAACTTTGTGGGAACAGTTTGGTGACGGCCCCTTCCTGTTCCAACATGACTGTGCATCAGTGCACAAAGTAAGGTCCATAAGGACATGGATGAA